AACTAAGATGAAAAGTATTTGTATCTGGAATATATAAAGAACCAAGACTCAATTATAAGGAAAGAAACACTTTTTCTTTTTTTGGTACCGGGAATTTAACTTAGGGACTTGTGTTTGCCATGCAGATGCTAAAGTTCTGGCCTATCATTTTATTTTTGGTGGGGTGGGTACCAGGGATCAAACTTGGGACTTTGTGCTTGCGAGGCAGGCGGTGGCACCAATGAGTTAAATCCCTGACCCTTACCTATCATTTTATTAATGGGCAAAGGACTTGAAGACATGATTGACCCAAAGAAGATACACCAATGGTAATAAAGGAAAAAAAAAAAAGTCCTCCACATCATTAGTCAACGGACAAAGACAAATTAAAATCCCTTTACATGACTATTAGAAAGGCTATGGAATGACCAGACCATGTGTTGATGATGTTGTGGAAGAACTAGAACTCTGAAAGATTGCCCTTGGGAAGGTAAACTGGTGTGATCACTTTAGAAAGCAATTTGATAGTTTCTTAAAATTTAAAAATAAATTCCATATGATACGCTCATTCTACTTCTAGGTAGTTTCCCAAGAAATAAAGCAGATATCCATATAAAGACTTGTACAGGAATGTTCAAATCAACTTCATTGTAATAGTCCCAAAGTGAAAATAATCCAAATGTCCATTGCTAGCCAAATGAATAAAATATGATCTATTAAAAAATGGAATTCTACTCAGCAGTATAAAGATAAACTGAACTACTGATATGCATTACAACATATATTAATCTCAAAATAACTGCTGAGTGGAAGAATGTAGACAAGAGTAATTATATTATTCAATTTACATAAGATTCTATGAAGTCTTAACTAGAGTGAAGGAAAGCAGATATATGAAAGCATGGTATATATACACAATGGCATATTACTCAGCCACAAAGGATAAATTTGTGTCATTTATAAGAAAAGAGATACACTGTGAGACCACAATGTTAAGGGAAATAAATCTGACACAAAGGGTTAAATATTGGATGATTTCACTTATATGAGAACCCAAAGTATAATCTAAAGAGCAAATCAAAAGATAGATTACAGGAAACAGAGGGAGACCTTTTACAGATGAGAAGGTAATCTAGACAGGAGGAGAGGTATAGTAAGGGGAAGAAGAAGTAAAAAGGACCAAGATGTCATATGTTCATACATCAGCTCCCCATGGTGAATGTACTCATTATGCATTGCATACATGTTCTAATGAAAAAAAAAACTTTAAAAAGATAGTAGATAAGTGATTAATATAGGCATAGACAGGGATAGAGGAAGGGACTACAAAGAGGCCAAAGAAAATCTGGTAGTGATAGATGTGTTCATTACCTTGGTTGTGGTTTCCAATCTATGTACAAATGTCCATACTTACATAATTTACACATACTAAACTTCACTGTACACAGTGACACACCAATATGCTTAAAGAGGAAAGAAAGTAACAAATTATGGATACCAAAAAGAAAGATGTTTGGCAGGCAATTTTTCCAAAATGAATGAGTCTAAAGAAAAAAAAAACAACTGATGGTGTTTGCTGCCAGTGATAAAACCAAGCTTTCAAATGAAGAATTAAAATTTTAGAAAACATTTGCCTGCCATCATGAGCCTGACCTGCTCTCGTTACTTTTCTGATCAGAGTAGTTGTGACATTAATGAAGATAATCTTTTGTTATTATAATGAATTGTGTCACTATTCGGAAGATCTACGCAACCTGATGTCCTGATATTTTCCAAATGACTGAAGCACAATGGAACAAAATCATGAATGGGTAAAAGATGTATTTAAACTGCAAGACCAAGCAACTTAAATAAACTTAACTTAAATAAATTAACTATGTATGATATGGCTTTTGATTCCATAATACAATCAGCCTTTAAGAAAATTTAGCGAAATCTACTGTAGTAGGCAGAATATGAAGATAACCTCTCAGGTATGGCCCCACCTAATGCCTGGATCTATAAATGTGACTAAATATCACTCTGATAATTATATTCTGCCACCCTTAAAATAGGAAGATTGTCTAGGTGGACCTGATATAATCATGTAAAACCCTTTAAAAGCAGTGTTTTCTCCTGCAGGTAACAGAAAGAGAAGTCAAAAATATTAAAAACACTTGAAGGATGTGACATGAGCTTTGAAGAAACAGAGACTATGTGAGAAAGAATGCAGGCAACCTTAAGGAACTAAGACACCTCTGCTGACGGCAAGTAAAGAAAGGGGAACCTCAAACTAATAAATGCAAGGAACAGAATTCTGCCAACAGCTGAGTAAGCATCGAAGTAGATTCTTTTTTCCAGTTTCCAGATAAGACCTCAGACTCACATGTTTATTTTGGCTTCATGAAAAGCTGAGCTGAGAACCCAGTCAAATCTGCTTCAACTTCTAAACTACATAACTGTTAAGTAACGAATGTTGCTTTAAATTTCTCAACTATGATAATTTGTCATACGTCAAATCAGAAGCTAGTATATTTACTATAAGTTATATTACACAATCCCATTAAGTTTCTATCCTACTTCCAAAGGATTCTTACAACAAGTCCAGATTTATTTACCATTGTATACAAAATGAAAAAGAAAACAAAGTATTCTTAGATAAAGGACTGACTGGACAAATTACATAAATCTACAAAATAGAATATTCTACAGCCATTACAAGGAAAAAGTAGAAGCACATGAATGATGATGAGACAATAAAACTATATTAAGAGAAAGAAGGACCCAACATTATAATGGTTTTTCTTATAATTAAATTAAAAAGATTTGGGGCCCAGGATTTAGCTCAGTGGTGCCACACTTGCCTTGAAAGCACAGGGTCCTGAGTTCAATCCCTGGTACAAAAAAAAAAAAAGATTTGTACAAAATTAAGATGCCTAATTAAACATCTTCCGGCGGGGGGGAAGACACCCCAGCTGACAGCAAGTAAAGTAAAAACAATTAGCTATGGGATATAATTAGCTGAGTAGAAAGCTTTAGTTCATAATTTCCTACCTTATATTTTTAAACAAAGTATTACTCTTATTAATTTAAAAATATCAAGAGATGTTACTTGTTAGTATCTAGATAAGCACTTCCCTGGCTTTCATACAAAACAAACTTCTGTTTTGTTCAATTTAGATTTGCCATCTGGAGTCTGCATCCATCCTCTTTTAGCCATCTAGGGTAAAATGAGTCACCTTTCCTCATCACGTTTGCCACACCTTCCAAATCTAAACTTCTCAGTGTCATTCCTTACTAATAAGTGTCTTCATATGCACCTGTGCGAATATTCACACATCTCATTTTAATAACGCTATTCATTTGTTCTTAAAATTTTGGACTGCATTCTTTCACCTTTTCCTAACAATACTGGAAGCTATGAAGACATAGATCATAAACCGAACAAACCATCCCAGCATACAATGTATGTAACAGACAATGCTGTCTTCAAGAGAATGAAGATGATTATGGAGATGATTAAATTATATGTTAATACTGGCAATATTCCAATAGGAAGCAAAGCAATAGGATGAAAACAGGACCAACAATCCTGAATAGTTTATTGTGCTTTATATCTAGGGCTATAGTTTATATCCCTAAAGCCGCATGAGTTCATAGGTGGGGCTGGGGGGTGTTGGGCAAGTGATTAAGAGTATGGGAGTTTATCTGGCTTTGCTATTAGGACGTGAGGTCTGGTCTGAAGGAGGTTAGTAGAGGCATGGCCTGGGACGGTTTATCGTCCTCCCTTGACATTACTCTCCCTCTCCTTCTCCCTCACTCTCCCCCCTCCCCCACTGCTTCCTGCACACCATGCCATAAGCTGTTTCACCTCTGCCAAGCTGTCCTGCCTTGGAGTCAGTGGGCTATGGACTGAAACAGCTACAATCTGTGAGCCAAAATAAAACTTTTCTCCTTTAAGTTATAGGTATTGGGTATTGTATCTCACTGATGAAAAAAGTGACTAAGAACAACTATACAGATAATATGTAATGGGTAATCTATAATATTAGGTTTACTTCACATATTTTAAAGTTAAAAATAAATTTTCATCTGCCTTTAAATTTTTTTCTTTTAAAACGAATATTAGTGGTAAAAACAAAAAAAGTAAAGCAAATTTGTAATTAAATACTGTATTTCTAAATCTTATCAAGATCAAATTATAGCTCTCTATTTTCTACAACAGGAAAATGGACAATGAGAAAAAAAAGACATACTATATAGTTTCTTGTCACAAGTTGCTCACTAAAAGATCTGAAGGCACTGAAAGTCACCAAAAAGAAATACCAGGAGAAATTCCTAGACTAATCATTTTCTCATTTGTCTACATATGAAAGAAGTGACCCAAAGCACCATTATATATGTAATATATACATATATAATATAAATATATATATATAATATATATATATATTTTTTTTTAGAGATAATATGTGATGAACTTTAAAATAGTTCTATCTTATATTTACTACTTGGATACCATCAGTGTTATAAAGTCACACTAAGTAAACTGATTTTTTTCTAAAAAGCTCTTCAGACATAAATATTATATATAACTGAACTTCGTGTGTAACTACACTCAAATAAATCTGTCTCCAAAACATGTTGGCTGACATTTTCTACAAGATAATATGTGATGAACTTTAAAATAGTTCTATCTTATATTTACTACTTGGATACCATCAGTGTTATAAAGTCACACTAAGTAAACTGATTTTTTTCTAAAAAGCTCTTCAGACATAAATATTATATATAACTGAACTTCGTGTGTAACTACACTCAAATAAATCTGTCTCCAAAACATGTTGGCTGACATTTTCTACAAAACAGTGAAGTGTTATAGCCTATAAAAATACTGAGTATATATACAAGCTCTTTGTCATCAGGAAAATGTTAAACAAAATCCTTGGAAACTTTACAAGGAGAAATCACAGACTGAAAATAAAAAAGTAATAAAACATGACATTAAAATGTCATCATGCAAACCTCTCAAATCACATTACCTGAAACTAGTTCCATAATGATATAGACAGGCTGTCTTTGTGTGCAAACTCCTATAAGTTTGACAATATTAGGATGATCATATTGCTTGAGAATTCTGGATGAGAGAAAAATATAAGATTTCTTAGCATATGAATAAGAATGAGTAAAGCATTAATTTATAATAATGAATAATGTATACAAATAGAATATAATGTAGTCATAATTCAAATTTTAAAACATCAGTATAACCCCAATTATGATAAGTGGGGTGACTAAACAATTAACAAATATTGAAAACATAAGACAGGTACAAATGAGTTTGTGCTTAATTCAATTAAATATTCATTTAAAAGTTTTCCACTCTTCATGATTAATAATCATGCTAAATAGGAATAATCTAACTTGTAAAAATATGTAAAGCTCCCTACAAAGTATCTGGTTTTATCTACCACCACACACAAAAAGTTATACTGCTAAATGCTATAGAGAGTACTGCATTAGATTTTATAACAGTTAAATATATTCTCAAGGAACACAATTTCAAAATGGTAGAAACACAAAAATTTTGAGAAAGTTGGAAATAAATTAAAAAATAACTGAGTAACACTTTCAACACAGGCTGAAGTTAAAACAAACTAGACTTAGTTTGAACAAAGGCCAAATTTCATCAGAAGTTATTAAAATATGACAGACTCATCTATAAAATGCCAATCATAAGCTAAAAATATATTAGATTCCTCACAGGCCTGTCCTGCTTATTCTATTGCCAAACTTTAATCGTTATTATCCTATTGATATAAGATATAGTCATAAATCTGCTATTTGAACACCTTTATTCTTTCCTAAAAGAATGAAAAAATATCTTTGAATAAAGACAAACTGTTTTTACTTGTATAGCTAAAGCAGAGAAAGACCTAAGAAACCTATTTCAGATTTATAATATATAATGGTTTATAAATGACATGCTAGGAAAAACTCTAAAGATAAAGAAAACATTTTGTCAATAATTCTGAGCCTCTAATTTCTAAGAGAAATTGAAAGCAAGTTTTCGAGAATATTGGACTTCAACCAAAAAATGTCATTTCTTAGGTTGCAAGACGGATACTAAAGACATTGGAGAAAGCCAAATGAACTTTTATAATATTAAATATCTAAGCACATCTTTCTAGAGTCAAAGAAAATTCCTAAATTTGAAACATGTTCATTTTTGAGGTAACATGTATTTCACTCTGAAGGAGAAAATCAAACTCTGTACTTTGCAATAAAAGAGACTCCTAAGAAATTTAAAAATTTTTGAAAATGTTAGACATCAGCTTTTAAGAATACTTATGAATAACCATAAAAATGAGTTTCAACTGTGACAACATGCCTTCAAATTAATCATTAGAATTTCCAATAATACATATTTTTAACTCTGTTTTATAAATAATGAGGCATCTAACTACTTTAACCCACTGCCATCGAGATTCATTTTTAGATTATGAAGGAAGAAACAAACATCCAAACAATTCATGCCTGGGGCCTTAAGTTTCCTTGCTGTCATCTCTTCTACTCTCTTTATGGTACTTTCTCTCTTTTTTTTTTTTTTTTTTTTTGGTACCGGGGATTGAACTCGGGTCCTTGCAAGGCAGGCCACTGAACTGCTGAGTTAAATCCCCAGCCCTATGGCACTTTCTCTTTATGCCACAAAAATCCATGGATTCTTTTCCCACCCATTCATTTTATCCATCTCCAATCCATATGTTCATTCATCTTACTCTGGCCAAAGACCTTTTCCATTTATTTTGTGTTTTTTTAATATACTAAATTTTCACCACTAACAGAATTGTTTTAACTCTCTGAAATACAGGAACAGCACAGCAGGACTTTAAATTCTAAAAGAAACTAGGAAGAAAATCACCTTAGAAGACCTATTACAAGAGAAATAAGCGGACTGAAGAAATGCCAGACACTAAGCTGAAGAATAAATATGATTCTCAGTACAGAAAATAATATTTAGAGAATCAAAGCAGTAATACCCAGGGAAGAAAAGCAAAATTTTAAGGACTCGGAGAACATTTGGTCCTTTTCAACAACTGGTTCTTTCTGGGATTGTCTAACAGATCTATAGTCTACCTCAAAAACAAACTTGCTGTTTCCATACTGTAAAAATACTTAATGGGATTTGGAAAGTGTTTATTTCTACTTCAGCATTTCACAACTTATGTCTTCAAACTTACATCTTAAAAGTTATAAATGTATTATAATGAGTGATATATAAGCACATTATAAATTGTAAATACATATTTTGTGTTACTTTAGAGAACTCACTTGGCTTCTTGTAAAAATTTTATTTTCAATTCCTGAGGAAGATCTTCTTTACATGTTTTAACAGCAACAGCAGTTTTATCCTTTAATGTGCCCTTATATACTTCACCAAAATTTCCCTGAAATTACAAATACATTCATTATTTGGGATGTATGACAGTGTGTAAATCTTTTCACCACACACACACACACACACACACACACACACACACACACAATATGAAGTGTTTTAAACTAAGTACCCTGCACACTGTCAGATATATTTCTTGGTATTCTCAAGCATATTTTCTCCCATAATTGTCAGTTTATTAATTGTAATGGAGAGAGAAGCTATTAGTATATACACGATATTGTCTTCATTTATCTGAAAGATTTTAAGGCACTCATAATTCAGTTTGTCTAGAACATCATTTTACTCATCCAAAGAGTTTTCATGGCTAAATTATACTTTTTCAGATACTAGAATTATGGTATCATTCTCCATGTGAGTGTTCAGTTACTACCTCCATTATACTTTTGCCTTCCCCCTTGCAGCTCAGAAAAGCTTGCTTTTTTTCACCTCAACATCTTTGGTTGCTTACTCCTCTAACACACTTATTTCAATAGTGCCAGGTTAACCTTGCTAACAAAAATTATTTTTGATTATACAACTGTCTTTAAATACCACTCATTTCTACTCTGTCTAGTTCCATGTTATAGACTTCAATGTTATATGTGTTCTAAACTCAAATGTTTAGTGATCAAAAAATAGGGGCCATGCCTTTCTATACTTTTTTTCTCTGAAGAAAACCATCTATCAGAAAATGCTGCCTAACCTTTAATTCCGTTTCTTATGCTTTCTCCTTCATGAATTTTTAAAATCTTCTTGAAACTGTTTTTTTCTGTCCCCTTCCCTCCAAACCTTCTTCGCCACTTACATAAGCTGTTTCCATTTTTTCTTTAATGTTTTGTTTCTTTTTCCCCTTACTTCCCTCCTCCCTCTGCCATCTCTTGTTCCCATTCCCATTTGAAAAAATTCTTACTCAATATTTATCCTCCATTTTGCTCCTTATACATACTTTGAGTTTCTCACACAAGAGAAATAATGTGATAAACTTATGTGTCTGATTTATTTCATTTAAAATTAGTCTCAAAATGCATTCATTTACCTAAAAACATCTTCAGTTTATCCTTCTTTATAGCAGAGTACTAACTACTCCATTGTATATAAATTTTCTTTATCTATTCATCTGTTGAAGGATATATGGGTTGTTTCCAAAATTTAATGGTTTCTGCCCTATAAAACAGGTTTTGATACACACTGGACATTTGAAAATTTTTACATTCATCTGACAACCATTTTCCAGAGAACTTAAACTACATCAACAGTGTACAAGAAAGGAATCTCCCATCACTGACAAAATGATTATTCTTGCCCAGACCACTTCTCCAAACAAAGGTCAGGAGGAAAACTAGGTCACTCTTCACTTGCTATCATTCAGCAGGTATAAATTCATCTTAGCTATTGGCCTTCCTTTCATGGGGACAAATCTCACTATACTGCTTGCCTATATTTATGCCAATCATAAGGAAATCTTGGTCCTAGGTTAATTCTCATTTCCTCTTCCCTACCCTCATCAAGTTCTGCCCACCTTTCTTTGATCCTTCTTTCTCTTCTATACCCAACTTTTACTCTACTTTCTGGAATTTATGGTCTATCATGAAAGTTAGACCTTCTATCTATTCTTTGATAATTCTCCTTACCTTCTTGCTATTAGAGAATACTAGTTCTTATCAGAGAACACTCAAATGGTAATGAGATCCACTCAAATGAGATCCCCTCTGCCATTTAAACTTAAAAGATGTATTTCCCTGTGTAACTTACTAGTTCTTTATCAGTCTTTAAACCATTCTCTCTCTTGCATTCCTAAAAACTTCAGGTTTTGAGTGTTATTATTCATTTCTATTTCCTACTATCCTTCATTGTGGCTGTCACCTAAGTGAATTTGAAAAATTCATTTATGATTTCTATTCCTAGGTCACTGTCATTCTAATCCAGTGTTGCTCCTATATGAATTCTCACCATTTTCGACACAAATTTCAAGTCCTTTCAATGCTTCAAATTCTCAAGCTATTTTCACATATCTCTTTCAAACATCGAGTAATCCATCTATTTTTAAGAGTCATACCTTTAACTTTCATATTTACCAATAAAGCAATTTTAGAGAACCAATTTTATAGAACCTACTTCATTTACCTCATCGTTGGTCTGGTTTCTATTCTACCTTTATAGCCCATCAATTTTAACATGTATTACTCCTTAATATTCTCTCCTTCTGCATCCACCTTAAATTCCATGGTCAGTCATTACAACTGACAAACCATATACTCTCCACATTTTTGCTTGTCTTTAGCTGTAGAACTCCCTAAGGCCAGTGGTGGTGAACCTATGTCACGTGAGCCATAGCGGGTTGTTTGTATCAGTGAAAGAACTAAAAAGTTTACTAACACTGGTCTAGGGAAATCTACAATCCTAATAAAATCTCAAATTCTGCCTATTCTGCACCTACAAAGTTAAACATAAAAACAGCTGAAAAAACCATAACCATTTTAATTGATTTATCTCTAAAATTCATGAACATAAAATGTTGGGGGCCCTTAATTCATGAAAATAGACTTTAGGGCCCTTGAGGCTACACGCTTTTCTAGCCCCAGTCACACTCCCTTCTTCCACATGACTGGTTTCCCTTCTACTCTCTTCTCCAATCTCCAGTAACAATTCTCAGCTATGCTGCTGCTTCCTATTTCATTGGGGGGGGGGATACCCTGAAGTAATTGAAACAGAACTTTTGGATTCTTTGTCACAGATTTATTCACCTACTAATCTTCCTTGCTGTGATAAAAATGAGCTATTATGCTTCTACTAAAATCAATCCTAAACTGAGCTGAATCACATTTCTTCTTACCCACTCAAAGGTATTGCTCTAGCAATCTCATTTCTTTCCTGTACGATAAATTTTTCACTACACCATTCACCACTGCAAACTAATATGTTATTATTTCTCTCAGGTTGAACATCAAAAAAATCATTCTTTTGCACGCCTCTGCTTCCTTTTCCAACAACATTTCAAAGGGTTACATCCTTAACATCTCTAATTCCTCTCCTCCTATTCTCTCTTAAGTTCACTCAAATCTGGTTTTCACCTAAGGTACACCAAGGAAACAGCTCAACAAAATCACCAGGGACTTCTTCATTGCTAAATCCAGAGGTTAATTCTTGGTTATTATCTCATTGGATTTCTCACCAGCATTTGCTACCACTGATTACAGTTCTCTTTGGTATGCTTTTTCCTCTTGGCTTCCAAGTTCTTGTATCTGCCTTTTTTTTTTTTTTTTTTTTTTTTTTTGGTACTAGGGATTGAACTTGGGACCTCACGCTTGTCAGGCAGGTGCTGTGCCTGCTGAGTTATATCCCTGATCCAGTTTCTGCCTTCTTAATTGGTGGTCCTTTAACCTCATTTGCGTATCACTTCTCTTTTCCCCATCCCTTAATGTTGGTGTGATCATGGCTCAATTCTTGATCTCTGAGTCTCCTATGAATCCATGTAATTGTACGGTTTGTTTTACTTATGTATTTTGTGGTGCTGGGGATCCAACTCAGAGTATCACATATGCTAGTGCAGCACTCTATGCTAAACTACTCCCCTGTCCTAATCTTACAGCTTTAAATGTCACCAATATAATCCAAATCACTGAATTTGTACTTCTGACACAGAAATCGCTTTTAAAAAGGCAGACTTAGTAGCCAACTGTCTTTCACCATCTCCACAGAGAAGGCTAACAGACAAACTCAATATATTCAAAACAACATCTAATTGTGTTCCCCTAAACATTCTATACTTACAGCCAACTTTGTTCTTTTCTCAATCCCTATATAGATTACATTAGGATATCTAACTGGTTCAACTTAAAAATGTATCTAAAATTCATCACTGCTCATTATCTCCATATCACCACTCTGTTCTAGCACCATTTTTTAGTAAATTAAGTGCACCTGCCTCTCAATCTTTCAACTCATCAGACTATTTTTAACATAACAGCCAAAATGACTGTTTAAAGACTGAAATCTCAACCACTAGGCACTCATAAGCCTTCTATTTTATAGGACTTAGCACCTCAAGAAACTATAAAATTTACCTATTTATAATGCTTATCATTTATCTGTCTTCCCTGCTAATAGAATCTACACCCCATACAGGAAATGATTTTTGTCTGCTTGTTCACTCTCCCAGGGCTAAATAAGTGCTTGGCACATAGTAGGCATTTACAAAATACTGAATGATTGAATAAAATATTTATTGAATATCAACCATATAGCAAATACAGTCTACTAAGACTATAGTACAGAATAAATAAGAGTTTCTGCCATTACTTTAATATAATTACTAACCAAACTCCAAACCTCACAAGGATCTGAAGCTTAGTTAGTTATCCTTTAATTACCCATGCACTCTCAGCCGGAGCACTGTAAACATTTATTCAGAAAAGGTAGTGAAATATTAAGTGACAAGTCAAGTTGTAGTATTTTAAAATATTAGATGAAGTTAAGCTACACTGTCTCAAAGTATTAGTCTTTTAGTAAAAATGATTAAATTTATTGAGACTAACACACTACTACCTCATTTGAGAAAATATTCCTTAAAGTAACCTTAGTAACAAGCTAAATTCTAACTGATAGACTATAGTTTATAGAATAAACTAGACACAACTGAAATATTTTTCTTTAACTGAAAATACTTTTTTTATACTAAAAATGTAGTCTCAACACATTCCCTTTATTTCAGTAAGATTTAGTTTTAAATTTCATTCCTTTGTAATTTTTATAATTGCTATTGTATTGGGTTACCTATAGCAATAGAGAGGAGGAATATTTCCCTAAGAATTAGGGGACCATCATGGTAAATAAAGATATCAGCTGCAGCTTTTAGCTTGAGGTTCTCTGAAGTGACTTACTAGTTAATTGTATTAACGACATAAAAATTGCTTTCTGATAGAAATTTGATGCTTCCATCTGGACAGAATATTTTTAAATAATCAGTGTTAAAAAGCCTGCAAAGTTGATTAGTTCAACATAGATTTATTTTCTTCAGCATACATTAGATTTTTTTAAATAGGGAAAAAAGTCAATTCATTGAATTTACGTTTGAATAAAATAGTCATTTACTGTTTTACCTACTGAGCTTTAATTCGGTCCAGTAATGATCACTCGTTCTTTATATATGCTACCTTTCCTGAAATATCTGGATTTTATAGTATTTTTCACAGTACATCATGAAACTAAACTCAACTCAAAACTTTCACATGAAAATGTCTCTGAACAAATTTTTATTAGAATTCAATTATAAGTAAAACAATAAATATGAAAATTCATTTTGATTATTAAATATCTTTATTGTTAGACATAATATACTTTCATATGGCCTATGAGTTCAAAGAAATGTCCAACTAGATTGGAAGAAAAGAAACCGATTATTATTATAAAGCTGTACTCTCTGACCACTAATAGAAAATTATAATAGATACTGATATTGAAATATATGGCTTGTCCATACTTTTTATATTGAAATAATATGCGCAATATTATATACTATAATTTTCTGAACAGTTCTAACTCTCAAGGTGCAGTGTTTCACTTTTTCTAAACAATTACATATAACCAGAAACAAACTAAGACTATTAAGTTTTTATTATCTCAATTTCTTTTCAAATCTCAGTTCAGTAGTTTTGCTTTTATTACATTGTTTTTTGTCCTTCCAGGGGAAAATATACTATTTTTATAAAACAAGACTCCTCCACAAGCCTTTCAAACACATCTACTTCAGTGGACATCACAGAATTTTAAGAGATACGATACCGTGTTCCAGATAACTTCTAAGGTGCTTTGCTATGCACTGGAATATAAACAAAGAAAGTGTTCACTTTTGTTATTTAGGTCGGTTGTCACATACCTTGCCCAATAATTCTCCCAAAGTGACATCTTCATGGTTGAGAATCCACTTCTTATCCTATTGGGGGGGGCAGTTGTTTAGTCTAAGCAAGAGTATACTGAGTACATTTCCTTTAAGATACATCTGAGACTGGTAAACAGAACTAAGGGACATTTCATTCAGACCATTCAATAATAGCATACTAAGAAGTTATAACCTCAAGATGCTATAAAACAGATTTAAGCAATGTTACTGTTCTGTAGGATAGTAAAGTCTACATTACATCAAACTTCTTTCAGAAATCTCAGACTCCGTAAAGATATAGTATCCCTGTAACTACAACATAGCATGCACATTCCATGTACTATAAAACTTTGGCTATGCCACTGTACTTTCAAAAAAGTTCTGCCATAAGTATATGAAGGAGTTTCAGTTTACAGTGCAAAATTTCCAATTCTCACTTGATCTTAGAGAACTACTTTTCTACACAAATGATACTAAAAGCTAATTCTTCTACATATAAGTTGGCCATGAGTTACAGCTTTCTATGAAAGTATATGTAATCCCAAATCTTTCCCAAGTAATTTCTTGTGCTATAATAAAGCAGCAACATCAGTTAGAACATTGCTAGGATGCACAAGACTAGTTATGCAAATATGCCATTATAAATGAGCATCCCATCATCTGCTCTGAAGAACTAATTAATACTTAGGGAATACATTAGCATGTACAAGAACTTCAGAAAACTACACAATACCATAACGTTAGAAAGGTATAAGCATTATTTTAAAGGGGGGAGAAAAATGAAGCTAGGAAAAAGGAGAGAAGAGTATTAAAAGATGGGAAGATAAAAGAGGCTAGAAAGAAATGTTTCATGCATGACTTAGGTTCATTTTATGTTACAGTGTAATTTTCTCTATTACAAACACAGATTGAAACATAATTGTTGTACAGCAAGAGATATAACAAGTAAACATTTTGAAATAAAAATCCACTAAGTATGATTTAAAATACACGAGACAGCAACTGGATCTATTGTCTCTTCTGAAACATCATGTGGCAAACACTGAACTTCACCTTCTGATAGATCAATAAAGGGACATTGCTATTTAAAATGCAACAGCATAATCTTTCATTCCAAATATTAAAGTTATAAAGATTTTAGAAAACATGGGAGAATATCTTCACAACCACATGAGCAAAGATTTTAGATACAAAAAGCACTAACTACAAAAGAGAAATAAAATTGGACTGTATTATAATTACAAATATAGTCTTCCAAAAACATCATTTAAAAATTACAATAAAATCAGAGAGCATTTTTGTGATATTTATATGTGATAACATTATTTCCATGTAAAACACATAGAAATGATTTATATCTTAATAACAACTTGATTTTGAGATTGTATTATAAATTTATCAAAAGAGTCAATAAGCACATCAGAAGATTCTTAATATTGGCAGTAAGTAGCAAAGTGAAAATATAAACCACAATGAGACAGTATTTCACACCCTTCAGAATACTAAAATTATTAGAAAGTAGGCACATGTGGACTTGTGTGTGTTGCTGTGGAATGAACTCAGAGCCTTGCACATGTGAGGCAAGAGCTCTACCTCTGAGTCACATCCCTACCTCAGAATAGTAAAATTAAATAATTATTAATATCATGAAATTGTGAGGATGTGGAGCAGCCTGAGTCCTCATATGTTGCATATTCAAACCAGTATAGCTATTTTGGACATTTCTTATAAAGCCAAGCACATACCTACCTTATAACTCAGCAATTATACTTTTTAGGTATTAACCCAACAGAAACAAAAATACCTAAAAATGATTTGTCATAAAATTGATGAAACCAACCTATTTAAAGTAGTCAAAAACTAAAGCAACTGTAATGTCTATCACAGGATAATGAGCAATTATTGATACATTCAGAAAAGTGAATAATACTAGGCAATACAATAGATATTACAATAGAGCATTTGCAAAACATTTTCAGTTAATAAAGCCAGATTATTCTGTATAGACAGATACACAGAAAATGATTCCATTTATGTAAAGGAAAGGAGAACTACTTTTTTATTCTAGAATTCAAACCAATATTTGCCTGAGTCATAGTAGACTGCAAAGGAAAAAAAAGCAGCAGCTCTGGGAGTTGTGCAAATGTTCAATTCCTTCCTCCCACCCCTCAATGCTCCTTACTTCCCTTTCTCCCTTTCTTTCTTTGCTAGGAATTGAACCTAGGGCCTGGGCCAAGCTAACCACATATTACTACTGAGCTGTACCTGCAATCCTAAAACTTTTTGATATTTTCTTAAGCTATACACTTAAAACCTGTGCAAAATTTTACTGTACATGAATTATATAACCATAAAGTTGATTTTTTTAAAACAGTACTTTCCATTTGAATAGCACTTTGTGACTGAATTCCACTGCCTCAACATATTGTCAAATGTTATTCATCAAAAACTATAGTCTGACAAGCAAGAGAGTTGTTATTTTGATTTTTTGATAGATTTTATACTCTAGATAAGGGAAAGTAAGTTTAAGCCCAAGATTTACACTATAAACAACTGAAAAATCAAAGTGAAATGTAAAAAACCACACTAACAACAGGTTCAAACATCTGTTTAGACACAGGATAGATACTAAAATAGTGAAGAACTGGGATGCTAAATTTAGGTTAAGAAAAGAAGCAAATTAAAAATGCGTGGACTACTTTAGGCTTTTAACTAGAACCCCTAAAAGATACAACGTGTCATACAAAGGCAGTGTGGAGAGGGAAGAAACTCAGCCTACCTTCTAACCATCCCTATCACATATGTGACTAAATCAGAAACTGGCAAACTAAGACTCACAGCCTGTCATGGTTAAATGGTTTTGAATTATTAAATTTATTAAATGGTTAAAAAAATCAAAAGAATAATTTGTAACGCATAAAAATTATATGAAATTCAAAATTGCAGTGTTCATACATAACAATAGTTCTACAGAACAACAGAAATTATGCAAACTAACCCACATAGAAATGAAAGTGGAAGAAAAACACTAACAAATTTCAGAGACCTGTGGCACCTGTATGACCTGTACAAACCCAAAATTCCAGAAAGGAAGAAGAGCACAATGAAAGGAAAATATTTGAAAAAATATAGTTCAAAACTCCTCTAATTTGGGTATCTACTGATCCAAGAAAATGAACATATTCCACAAAGAAACCCATAGATATGGATGTCTAGATATGACATGTTCACACAGACAGAGCTACGTGGCTGGACAGAGGAGGAATTACATTGGAGTGACTCAGAGAAGATCAACTGAAAAACAGATATTTAGAAGAGGATGGACATACATTCTGATGCAAAAAAAAAAAAAAATCAACTTGAAAGAAGAGATTTGTATTTTAAACAAAACATATGCATAGAAATTTAAAAGAGGCAAAGAAGTCTGACCAGGGCTATACAGCAGGCCTCACTCCACCCCCAACACAGGAACTGCCATTATGAGAAGTTCTCAGATAGTTAGAGCAAAGTTACATGGCAGAGTCAAGCCACACAGGATAGATTTGGGGTATACAGCCCCTGCCTTCATTGTTCCCTCTCCAAATAAAGGACATAGCAGCCTGGAAGAATTTTTTGCAGGCACACACCAAGGGTGAGTGACCAGGGAACTGTTCCCTTCCCCAACTTGCCCATTTGTTCTCTGACACTTACATACTAACCCTAACCCTAACTACAGTCCAATCTCCTTAATGAATAAATATGTAAATATCCTCAATAAGATACTGGCAAACAGACTGCAGCAAATCATCAGAAAGATTATACACCATGACAAGAAGGATTCATCCTGAGAATGCAGGGATGGTTCAACATTAGCAAATCAATAAATGTAATATACTACATCAAGAGAACCAGATACAAAAATCACATGATCATCTCCATAGACACAGAAAAAGCATCTGACAAAGTCCAACATTTATTCATGACAAAAACTCTACAGAGAATTTGAATAAAAGGTCTTTATCTCAATCCGATAAAAGCCATCTATGACAAACCAGTGATGTTGAACATCTATATATTTTAGCTATTACCAACTCTGAACACACTCAGCTACCTTAACTTTGACAAAAGGACCAAACAACTTTACTGAAAGAAAGAGCCTCTGTAGTAAATGGTGCTGGGAAAACTGACTTTCTACAAGCTAAAGATTAAACCTAGATCTGTATCTCTCACCATGCACAAAACTAAAACTGAAATGAATCAAAGATTTAAATATTATAACAAATACCTAATCTGCTGGAAGATACAAAAGGGAAAATTCTTGAAGACACAGATATAGACAGAGACTTTATGAACAAAACAATGATTACATAGGAAATATTACAAAGAATCAACAACTGGAATTACAGCATACTACAAAGCTTTGCACAGCAAAAGAAACAATCAATGGAATGACAAAACAACCTACAGAGTGGAAAAAAACATTAACCAACTATTCCTTAGCCAAAGAGCTAAAATCTAGAATATATGAAGACCATAAAAAAAAATCAGACCCCCCCCGAAACTTAAAGATCTAATAAAAACCATCTGAATTGCATTGATGAAGAAATAGAAATGGCAAATAAAAATATAAAAAATGTTCAACATCACTGGCCACCTGAGAAATGGAAATTAAAACAATGAGATTCCATCTCACTCCAGAATAAATGGCTATCATCAATAAATTAAGCAATAACAAATGCTTACAAGGTTATGGGGAAAAAGGAACACTTCTTATTGGTGGGAGTATAAACTGGCACAACCAATATGGAAATCAGCACGTAGATTCCTCAAAAAACTAGAGGTTTCATTGACCCAGCTATTCCCCTCTTCTTAGTATTTTCCCAAAAGAGTTAAAAGCATCTTCTATTCTGTTCCATTGAGTCTTTGATATGTTTTCTTTTTGCCAGTACCATGCTGCTTTTATCACAGTACCTTTGTAATATGACTTCAAATCAGGGGTTGTGATGCCCCCACCCACCTTGCCTTTCTTGCTTTTGCTATTCTAGATGTCCTCTGCTTCCAAACAAATTTCTGGA